GTGTTTTATTTAATGCCTTAAAGTAATTGTTTTATTATAGAAAATATATTTTTATTTAATAAAATAAACACTCGATTCATAAGAATTTATAAAAATTGTTTTAATTAATCAATTGATGAACAAAAAAAGTCTTATTAATTAACATTAAAAGTAATAAATACTTAAATATTAAGTACAATATTTGGTAAAATTGCAATTCAATGTCTCGTCCGCTGAAAGTAACGTAATTTATGAACAGATATTTAAAGCGCCAAAAGTTGTGTTTTGTTTTGTTGTTGTCTTTAAAAGTCTAAAAAGTGATAAACAATTGTCTGAAGAAAGTAATGGCGAGTAATGGAAGTGATCGGCGATTATCTCTGAGACAACGATCGGTGACCACGAAGTTTGGTATCGATGACTACCAAAGTGTGGATAAATGTGTGAACAGAAAGTCCCGCAAAACGCTTATCGACTTATCCAGCGATGAAGTGTCGGATCAAATGAGTGACAAATTGGTTGACAGTCCGGTCCTCACAAACAGTCGACCTCTTCGGTCAAAACAAGACAATCAATCGATTCAAACGAATGGCAAGAATGATATCCCTTTGACTAACGGAAAGGCAAAGTCGTCCGCAAAACAGTCGCCTATTAAGAGACGCCTCTTTGTGGACACAAATGGAGAGACAGACAAAACGGATGATAATAAAAGAGCTCTTCGGCAAAGAGGTGTTAAAACGCCCACAAATTCGGTGACAAATGGGAGCGAAAAGAGTTCAGAGAAGGACTCAAAACGGAAACCAAAGATACCAAAAGAGACATCAAAAAAGACACCAAAAGTTTGTGATAAGCAATGTTTGGATACGAGTGAAGACAAACAGGTGTTGTCGACAAAGAAAAAGAGCGTTGAAATGAATGGCAAAGTAGAGCCCAAACCGGTGAAGAATGGCGTAAAAAGACACCAAAAGTTTGTGATAAGCAATGTTTGGATACGAGTGAAGACAAACAGGTGTTGTCGACAAAGAAAAAGAGCGTTGAAATGAATGGCAAAGTAGAGCCCAAACCGGTGAAGAATGGCGTCAAAAGGAAGTCCAAAGTTTTTGCTAAGAGTAAGGAATCACTTGATTTAGCGCTCGAGAGGTTGAGCTCCAACTCGATTCCCGAATCGCTTCCGTGTCGTGAATCCCAATTCAAAGATATTCTTAATTATGTCGAAAGCAAACTCATCGAAGGGAACGGCGGGTAAGTCATGCACTTTAGTATCATATGTTAAATGGTTAACCACCCGAACCTCTATCTGCCATCCAATCAGATGTATGTATATATCGGGAGTTCCCGGCACTGGAAAGACGGCAACCGTTCGGGAAATGAGACGTAAACTCGAATCGAGTAATAAATACCCGAAATTTACATTCATTGAAGTAAATGGTCTCAAATTGAGTGATCCCTTCCAGTGTTACGTTCAGATACATTACGTAAGCATTCATTTTAAACCATTGTATGATTTATTTGATTAAATATAAAAGTAATTCAAACGACAACCGAATGATTGCATAGGAGTTGACGGGAGAGAAGAAGTCGTCGTACGCGGCGGCCGATGCCCTCAACGACCGCTTCTCGAACGCCGATTCCGACAACGAGTTTGTGATACTATTTGTCGATGAATTGGATTTATTGCGGACTCGAAAGCAAAACATTTTATACCATTTGTTTGATTGGCCGACACGTCATAACTCGAAGCTAATAGTGTTAGCGATCGCTAACTCAATGGATTTGCCCGAAAAACTTATGATCAATCGGGTGTCGAGCCGTCTCGGACTGACTCGGCTCTCGTTTCATCCCTACTCTTACCGCGAACTCGAGTCTATCATTAGCTCAAGACTCGAAGGTTTGCACAATGTTTTTGACGGCGACGCTCTTCAACTCATTTGTCGCAAAGTGGCCGCAGTTTCGGGCGACGCCAGGCGTGCACTCGATATTTGTCGGCTATCCGTACAGACGGCACAAATGGCCGACGAATTGACGGTATCGTTGAAATCAGTGGACACTGCGCTCCAAGAGATCTTCAATTCACTGAAATTGGTTCGCATCCGAAACGCAACACTTATGGAGAAACTCTTTTTGCAGTCAATTGTTCAGGAGTTCCGCATCTCTGGTCTCGAAGAATGCAATTTTATAGATATTTTCAAACATCAGATAGAGATGTGTCACTTCGAGGGTCACTACACGCCCAGCACTGTTGAGGTGGAGAAGATTGCCTACAATTTGCACACTTCGAGGCTTATTATACTGGAAAAGAGTGGTTCCCATCTCTATAAACGCATTCGTCTCAATGTGTCCGTCGATGACATCAATTTTGCCCTTAAAATGTGATCACTATTTAATATATATTTCAAAGCATGTGTTCTTTTAATTTAGTTTTTAATTCTATGTTTAATAAAACAATTTTAATTGTGATTTTATTATTTGATAAAAACATTATTGATTAAGAATTAAAAGTAATCTAAGAATTTGAATTATGATAACATGAGATGAATCTTTATTTTAAATGCTATACTTGAAATGATAAAAATAGGCCAAACATAGTTACCAATTGAATTCATTTATACAATCATAAATACTACAATTAGCTTTTTATTTTATTTCGATAATTTAAAAACTTATGGAAATACGAACTGTTGTGGTATTGAAATTATTTTGAAGGCCTTATTAAGGATTTAGTGGTTATAGAATATATGGAATATACCGTATATTTTACATATTTTCCCAATTCTTAGAATTCGTGAACACAATATTTGCACTGAATTCCTATACAATTATTGAAAACTATTCAAAAATCGATTTGTTATACTGTGTTTGAATATAAAATTGGTATTTTTGCCAATTTATAAACAAATATCCAATTGTAGTAATTATTTGTCAAAAATTATTAAGTTTTGTGCCAAATATTCTTTCATTTTGTTTGATATGTTGTGTGAAATGTGTGGCCTTCACGTCGAACCTATAATTTATATTCCTATCCATTATTCCTGTTTAATGCAAACCAATAATTATAATTGCATTTCACAATAATTATAGCAAATTCTGGTTACAGTATTACTCCTATTGATTGGTTTATATAGTGAAGTTTATACAAACTTTTCGTTTTATTAAAAAAAATACAAAACCAACACAATAATAGATGCAAATTACATGCAATCATAATTTCAATGTTTACCAGTAATTATATAATTGACTTATAAAATATATGTTTCTGGCCATTGGGCCATTGTAACTAACTAATAACTATAGGCCATTGGGTTCTACTCAATACAAAATATACTTAATTTATAATAATTTTACTGTAGATAAGAAAATAAACACAGCTAATATACTGGCTAATTATTATTAGTTTTAATTATGAATTATATTTTTATAAAAGTTATCTTAACTTTGGTTTATATAATAATGTTATTATGCAAACCAATTGACACAATGTTTATTGAAAGCGATTTTTCTATATTCCTAAATGATATTTGTTTTAATACAAATCAAAAGAATATTCTGTTCACACAATATGTCAATAATTCACTTATCAGTAAATATTTGTTAAAAGCTAACTGTATTTGTATTATAAGAGAAATAAGTTATTTAAATGAAGAATATTCTGAGAACATTAAGATCTTAGATGAAAAAGATATTAATGTGATTATAGAGATTAATAATGAACAACAATTGGATCACATGAGTGATCAAGTATTCAGCACTCATTTCTCAATGAATGTTAATTTTATAATTGTTTTAAACAAACAATTAGTTAAAGAATTAGAGATCAAATTATATCATCGATACAATGAATTTCGATGTCTTGTAATCAGATATGAAAAAGATTTAAATGAAGTGACTGTGGCTTACATTAGACCCGTCATCAATGGTTGCCATTCATATAATGGGATATTGTATTCAACGGATTTCGATACAATGAATTTCGATGTCTTGTAATCAGATTTGAAAAAGATTTAAATGAAGTGACTGTGGCTTACATTAGACCCGTCATCAATGGTTGCCATTCATATAATGGGATATTGTATTCAACGGATCCCAACGCCAAAGAGATGATGACTTCAAACACTTGTAATCTAAACGGAACTCAATTAAAAGTTGTTGTAAATAAAGTGAGTATTAAATAAAAATATTTATAAATTGAATTAATAATTGTTAGAAACTATGTATTCATTGTTTAGGATCTGCCGTATTGTGACTTACAATTGAAAGACGGAAAATATACGATGAAAGCTGGGATTGAGTATAGAATGATTGAATTGATGGCAAAACGATTTAATTTTAAGTATGAAATCGTTTACGCGAACCAAAGTTGGGGTACTTTTCAAAACGGGGTTTGGATGGGAAGTGTTGGATATCTCTATAATAAGGTTTTATTTCTTAATACTTAATTAAACATTAATTATTTTAATTATTTCTCAAAGACGGCTGATATAGCCATTTGTGACTTAACTCGAAATACAGACCGATTAAAAGCTGTCGATTTTACAAAAGCTTATATAACAGTTCCCTTAACTTTTGTTACAACAAAACCCGGTCTTAAGGCCAGGACTTGGATTATAATAACTCCTTTTACACTTAATGTATGGCTTTCTATGGTTTTATCTTTTATTGTGACCACTATTTTGATCCAACAATTGTATTATAAAATTCATATAAACGACAACCGAATCGATTCGATATCTATATCACTGATCGGAACACTTCTTCAACAATGTATTCATTAATATTAAACTAAACTTTATTTTAGTATTTAATATAATTTCCTTGCATTTCATTTTATAGCTGTAATAATCGTAAATTCCGAGCATTTTATGATTCGCTGTTTTGTCTGTTTGTGGTTATTATCATCGCTTGTATTAATGAAAACCTATTCCGGAATATTCTATTCGGTTCTAACGGTTCCCGAATATGAAGATCCGATCGAAACTTTACAAGACTTAATAAAAGCCGCAAAAAGTAATGAATACTCTATCGTAACGGTTCCCAACTCTTTCTATTATGAGTTGTTTGTCCACAACAGCCCCTGTTGTGGGGCCTATCATACCATCGGTGTAAATATGAACCGCACAATGCGAAGCACACATATGCCCGGCTCCACACAAATGGGTATTGAACTCATCAATGAAGCCATTCATAAGAATAGGATTATTATATTCATCTATACATCAGTTCCAATATTATTCGGTGTCCGCACGTATGCGGCCGTAGAAATGCATATATCATCGGAAACTCTTATGATGGATCAGATGGCTATGGCTTTACAGAAGGGATCACCACTTCTTAGATCCATGAATAAAGCGTAAGTTTATTCTTATCGTATATTATATCAAATGATTATTATTACACATTTGTCTCCAGAATCGATCAGTTCATTGAGAATGGTTTGTATGAAAACTGGAAGACAGAGACTTTGAATGCAATACCGGCTAAAGATCACGTCGACGACCACTCAAAGGCCTCGCCAAAAGACTTAATCAAAGATCTCAAACTCCAAGACATTCAAAGCATTTTCTATGTTTGTATTGTAGGACTTCTTTTCTCAATCTTTGCCTTCATTTTTGAGTTTATTTTAAGACAAATCTCATTGAATGGCAATTGTCTTTCACTCGAGGAATGCTTTTAACCAAATGAACACATTTTTCGTTTTGTAATATATTTTTATTAAAAGCATTCAAAAAAAACAATATTAATTCAAAATATAAAATGAACAAATGGTCCAATGGTTGGCAGTTTAGTCTAACGAGTGATTGAATTTAAATTAAGTTATAAATCATAAAATTAGTAATAAAATTAGCGATAAATGACCGAAATGTTAAACTTATAAACCATATATTAATATAGATTATAATATATGGTATAATTCAAGAGATTTGTTAATAAAATTGTTTGTCCGAAGATATGATAACTATTTCAATGGAAGCGATGAATGTGTTTCGCAATACTTAAAGAATGGTCTGATTGAGTGGACACGTGTCACAATAGATGATTAGATTTGTATTAAACATATTGAACTGCGGGAACCGATCCGTGCATTCGCTCATTGAATGGTAATTCAATACTTCAAACATTCTTGCAATGATCTGTTCGACAGTGAGATCCGTTTCAAAGCGTATGGCACACGACGGACACATGAGATACGCCGACGCCGTCTTCTCCATGGCGTGTGTCTTACAATAGGGACACGGAATCACTCGATGCACTT